CGGTATTCTAAAAGCTAGAGAATCAGAGGTTCGTAAACTGGATGTGTTTCCGTCTTCAGGTGAGCGGGGGAGACACCTAAGGGCCACTGATTTAGGCTAGGTATTTCTAAGGGGTCCAACAGAAACAGATCCACTTTCCGAAAGTTGTGTTCTCCACGTAGGATTTGGAGTTATCACAGCGGTAGTTATGAAAATTTCCATCTTCTGGGATATAGCGCCGTGTAGTCCGTATTTGGACCGACGTTTCGGAGGAGGGTATTACTTCCTTTTGCATGGTCTTAAATCAGCTGAGCAAGAAACCAGCGAGATCAGGTGGCTGGGCAATACTCCATTCTCTTACCCTCTCCTCTCTGTATAAGTGTTATCCCGGTTGACAGCTGATTACGCCTAGCTACTATGCCTACTCTCGTTGGTTTCTTGCTCGATTGATTTTCGAACCTTAAAATTGAGATGATAATTTCCTCCGAAACGTCGGCTCATATACGTAATACACGGCGCTCTATCCCAGAAGATGACAATTTTCATCGTGTTCTCTAGTTTTTAGAATACGATGGACAAAGTCCAAAAACCCAGTAATTCAAAGTTTATGTTATTTCAGAAACAACAACGAATGGACTGTGAGCTGCGTTTACTGCGGTCATACAGAAGTTATGTGACAACATTGCAAACAATTTAGAGAAGATGGATGTTGCATATTTGAGTTCGAAGTTAAAGCACACAGCACGTGCAAGTCTCTACTGAGTTATAGTGATATTATGTAAGAAGCGCTATTGCTTGCACTAACTTATTCATGGAGCCTGCTGCTTCTGTTTCATATTAATGTTGCATACAAAAGATAGGAAGCATTTTATAAATGTTATTGCTATACGCACTGTATCCCTTTAGGGCCGACACTGTAAAAACCGGTAGTAAGGACAGAATAATACAGAAAAAAAGGTAAAGCTATCCTTTTAACAGGCCGTGGAGGCCCATAGGGTTGTGAGACGTCGAGGTTCCTCATTTTCTAGACAATCGGTTCACAGATGGCGGTAAGGTTGTCAGCTTTACGCACCGGCTGCGCTTTACCCCCAGGAAGATTCCTGGTACTCATTTCTGTTAGAGGCTGAGTCGACTCCAGGACTGCAGTGCAACTGGAAGGATTAGGTAAATTTAAATAAATCCACCTCATCGGGACTCGAAACCACGACCTTCCGGCTTGTACCATAGGGCCTCAACCAACTACGCTACTGCATGCGGAAAATTAAAGAGCGTAGTGACTAGATGAATAATTTAATGTGTGGAAGTAAATGTTTCTTGGTAGAAAATAAATTAATACGGAACAGCTGTTTTGAGTTAATGTAATCGTAAAGTCTTCGAAATCTGAAATCACGTATTATTCTAATTGAATTTCGACATGAGTGTATCTTACTGATATAAATAAGTAACTAAGAAATTTGCAGAATAACGACCAGGGTTCTTGCCGCTCCCTAAAAAGTGGCCTTACGTGAGATGATTCATTGGTCCGCAGTTGCTTCCCGGCAGTCAGTGCGAAGTAAGAATTAAGAGTAGGTTTAAGGGTCAGGTAACAGATAGTGAGGAGCCCTGTCTTCTGGTATATGCGCCATGTAGTCTATTGAAAGTCAATCGACGTTTTGGAGGAACAGCGAAATGTGTTCCTCCGAAACGTCGGTTGACTTTCAACGGACTACACATCCTTATATCCTAGAAGACAGGACTCTTCATAACCACAGCTGAGAGAATCTATAAGAGGATTATGAATTAAGGAATTAAAATAAAAAAGAACCTTTTGATGTGCAGTCTATGTACTGTAATATATGCATACCCGGAGCACTTTCTGTGTCTTTCTGTGCGACATTTCGCTGTACAAAGTGAAGCTGCTCTTTTCCCGTTTCTTATGTATATATCAGGTTGAACACAGCCTGTATATATTATGTTGTAAACATCGCAAAGGCCGGTATACATTACTCGTTTCGTGGAACCAGAGTTCCCTTACAGCATCCTCTTTGAAGAAGAGAGAAATACTCGTACCACTTACCAAGCAACGCAGCCGCCGGTCACGGTAGCCGAGCGGTCTAAGGCATGCACTGTCTTCGCTCGCTTGGAAACTGGGATCGTGGGTTCGAATCCCAGTCAGGGCATGGATATTTACTTTGTGTGTATGCGTTTTGCTGTGTTTGTGTACAAGTAGAGGCCTTGCGACGAGCTGATCACCCGCCCAAAGAGTCCTACCGAATGTGTAAGATCTAGAAAAACCGAAGTGAACGGAGAAGTTCATGGAGGTAGGCCTAGGCCCACTGGGGCTGTAGTGCCAAGGCAAAAAAAAAAGTTACCTCTAATTTATTTTACAATGGTCGGTGATCAGCTCGTCGCAAGGCCTCTACCTGTGCACAAACACAGAAAAACGCACACACACAAACTAAACATCCATGCCCTGAGTGGGATTCGAACCCACGATCCCGGTTTCCAAGCGAGCGAAGACAGTACATACCTTAGATCGCTCGGCTACCGTGACCGGCTCAGAGGTAACTTACTTATGCCTAATTAAGCACCACTTCTGGGAGACGTGTGGGGAGTAGAACTGGGCAATGACCTTCATGCCCCAGGCTGTTTACGCCCGAAAAATGAACTCCAGTGTCCACCGGATAAGGCTTTATATAGGCCTAAGGCATCTAGCTATACCTCCTCTCCTCATACTGGTTCATGGCGTCGTGCTTAATTATTTAAGCACAGTGACAGTTTTGCCTTACCTTAGAGGCCTAAAGATAGGCTGAGCGAGGTGGCAGGCTCAGGCCTGTAACTAATGGAATTTGATGGCCTACCCAAGAACTGTGGTTTAGGAACGACGTGTAACAAAAGCTGTTGGCGTATTTCGCTGCGCTTTCATCGCGTTGAGAAGGGAAGGGTAGAGCAGGATTCCTTCTGGCTTGGAGCCAAGAGAGGGCCTCTGTGAGGCTGTTGGACGCACTGAAACTTTTAGCAGGAACTGAGTTTTTTCCTAATCTCTCGGAAACTCAACACGACCAAAACTAGTGCGCTGTAGGAGCCCTCTCTTAAGTGCGATACACTGAACAGCAGAACGGGATCCCGATTCGTTTACTTGCTCCTCGTCTTGTTTAAAATCTCGCAGAAGAGAGACGCAGTACGCAGGAAGTACTGTATGTTACCATGCAGAATTGTCAAAACGACCGAATGTGACATTATAATCTGAGGTGTAACGAGGGCAAATTATAATGAGGAGCTTCGTAATTTGCGCTCTTCGCTAAGTATAATTAGGATAATAAAGTCAAGGAGGATAAGATGGTCAGCGTTTGTAGAAAGAATGGGGGGAGAAGTGGAATGCATATAGAATTTTGGTGGAAAAGTCAGAAGGAAAGAAACCACTAGGAAGACCTAGACTTAAGAAGGAGGATAGTATTGAAAGGGCTCCTAGATGAGCTGGTATGGACTGGATGGATCTGGCTCGGGATAGAGGACGATGGAGGGCTCTTATGAACACTGAAACGTACCTTCGGGTTCAATAAAATGCTGGGAAGTTCCTAAGTACCTGCACAATTGGTGGTTTCTCAAGAAGGCTCAGTTCCATGGAGTTTGTTAGCTAGTTAGTTAAATATAAAAAGACTGATATTTTCAATAGTGGGATCCGCGTAGCTCCGTCAGTATAACGACGGGCCGAGCGACCGGAGTTCGATTCTCAGAAGAGACAAGGGTTTTTTTACTCCACAGCGTTCAGATCGTCTCTGGGATTAACCAGGTCTTCTATCCAATAAGAACAGGGGGATCTTTCCGCGGGGGCAAAGCGGCCGTGGGGTTAGGCTGACAAATGTAATCAATGTAATGTCGAGTTAATTAAAATATATCTTCATGGCGTGGTGTTTAATTAATTAAGTACAGGGATAACTCTACCTTCTTAACTTTAGCTGCAGTAGTATTAGCAGACGGGAGAGGATGGTGTGCTCTTTTCTTCTTCTGCTCACGTGTTCTTGCATCTGTCCATTTTGTGAGGTGCACGCAGAGACAAACTTGCTTTATGTTCCGTAAGTAAGACTCTTAGTATGAATGTTCCCGCTAGTCGAGCGTATGCCACTTTTGTATGGCCGTACAAAAGTATATATTGTGGTGTATGTGCCCCATGAAAGAACTGTTGAGCGACAGAAAGATTCGTTGCTAAGCAATACACGCACGCTACAATAGAAAAATGGGGTTATGCAACCCGTTTCTAGACAGTGGTAAACACGTTCCAACGCACACCAATGGAAACTGTCTCAGTGGACGAATGTAATAGCTCGTTGCTAGGCAGCAGCCAGCGCGCCAAAGGACTACTTGGGTAGCAATCATGTGACTTGTGTTTTCCGTGAGGTCCGTGCGGAGCCTATATAAAGAGGATCTGTTGTAGCTTAGATTAGTTCAGTACAGTTGAGGTTTCAGTTTTGTACAGGCAGCTGTGAAGACAAGACTTTATGTGTAATATTTGAATTACTAGTGTCTGTGTTGTGATCCGTTGCCAGAAGGCGACTAGTGAAGACGGAGAATCCTAGTTCGTGTGCAGCGGCGAACAGAAAATGTGTAGGATAGCGATAGCGTTATAATTGAGTGCGGTTAAAAGAACTTGTAACAGAGATGCCAATAAATCAAATTATCCGATGGAGAACCCGTTATTTCCGGTACGTGTGTCCGCTACACTTGACAGTATTTTCTGACTAGTCGAGTGTATGTCTCTTGTATGGCCGTACAAGTCAACTAGTGGGAACATAGATACTAAGGGGCACATAAACATAACAACACTACGCCGATATACAACACAAATGCTGCCGTTCTTTCTCTCCGTTGTTCACGTCTGTAACTACTTAGTAGGACGTCACGCTGCAGTCGTTCTCTCTTCCGTTATTATTGGGCGCGCGAAGTATGAGAACTCACCTTAAGTTTATTTAGCATGAGAAACCGTCTCAGGGTCTTGACGGGCCTCGCTTGGACAGGAACACTTTAAATTTTAACTGGAGCACTCGGCTTATAAAGAATTCATTTATTATTGCAATTGTTACTTTACACTGTTTGACACTTTAAAGTAGGTAAGTATGTACGTAGCTTCATAGTTTTACTTGTTTTTGCGGCAATTGACTAATTAGGTTGCCTTATTTTAACACGGAGAAGTGATTACTTGTGGCCCGTATGACGTCGCGCACTGGTCTGGCAGTCGCACCCGAGGGAGGCCCCTCTTTGAACAAAAACATACATAGACGCTACCATTGGCTAAGCCTATCAATATACTCGCGGTACCAAGAAATCATTTATCTCTCTCTACCTCGAAATTAGCAAACATCACAAACCAAACCGGTAAAGGCAGCCTCCCAGATGCAGCTCCGACCTGTATACTACGTCTAAAAACATACATAGACGCTACCATTGGCTAAGCCTATCAATATACTCGCGGTACCAAGAAATCATTTATCTCTCTCTACCTCGAAATTAGCAAACATCACAAACCAAACCGGTAAAGGCAGCCTCCCAGATGCAGCTCCGACCTGTATACTACGTCTTACAATTCCATTATAACGAATGCTTTAAATTCAGTACATAAAACGGCCACACAAATAACACGCCGCAAATGATAAACAGCGCGGGAAAGAATAAAGAATTATATTCTCAAACAAATGTATTTTAGTGTTAACGGCGAAAATGCAATTGCATTGAAATATTTTGACTTGAGAACTAATGCAGTGTAGAGGTTTCCAAAAGTGTACATTTGGCTGAGGATGGCCAAGTAAGGCCGAAGCATGTAGCAATAGAATGTGATTTTAATGTTAGTTTAAACCCAGGAGAGATTGTGAACAGAGTTGCATTAAAGGCGGAAGTGAATTTGTAGAATGAATCTCTGTACATCGCAACTCTAGTGTAAGCGAGGAGACAGTCGGGTGAACAGCCTACGCAGCTGTCAGTGGTTATGACGCAAGGCGCTCATGAGATTTTGTCTTCTGCACTACCCGGAAGGACGAAGCGAGGGAACTAATGCAGTGGTAGCGCCCCCTCACGCAATGGGAAACAGCACCAGTAAATTGACCCAGACCTTGCGTACTGCAGAAACCCAACCTGCAACAAAAGATAAGTCGCGGATTGGGTCTACGTGCTAGCTGAGTAATTCCGGCTGGATACTCTTTAATTTCTGTTGTGTTTTTGTTAACAGGAGAGAGCTTCACTTAATTGGAAAAGTACGAGTATATTAGTTGTTATAACGGGTTGTTTATATGGCTAAAAATTATCAACATCTTGTGGGTATGTTATGTCTGTCTGCCTAATATTTACTATTATTTAGTCAAGATTTTGTAGTAGGCTTATAGTACAGTAACCATAAATATTCACATGAAGGTACATAGAAATTTCCTGAGTTAAGACCCACCGATTTAAGACTGTTCGTGACTATTTTTTTTAATTCGCTTAGTGGAGTTCAACTGGATCCACTCGGCACGGCGACCACGGATTGGCCTATTGTACTTGTCCCGGGTGATTATGATGATGGAGAATTTGGTGGAATGAAGATTGGCAAGGGAAACCGAAGTACTCGGAAAAAACCCGCCCCAGCGCCACTTTGTCCACCACAAATCCCACTTGACCAGACACGGAATTGAACCCGGACCGCCGCGGTGGGAAGCCAGCCTCTAAACGCTTGAGTTATGGCGCGGCCTTCTGTTCAAGACTAAGAAGAAGGTTTTTCTGTAACTCAATATTTACTTCGGATATGAAAAGCGAATTTATATGTAAGAACTAATAATCTCTTTGGGGTGACTTTCAGAATTTCGGCCTTGGTACTTCTTGCGAAGCAGGACTGAGCTGCTCACTATATACTCCAAACTTATGAAGCTGGAACATATTAAAACTTTCGTTTATGTCAGATTGAATATCTTCTCTATATAATGTAACAAAACTGAGGTGTAATCGATGGATTACAACTCTTCAAGCCAACTTAGTACAATAGAATAATTATTGTACATGACAGCAAATTAGCTCATGGAATGTAAATTCAGATTGCTGATAAATTATAAATAAAAAAAATATAATGTAAAATAACAACTTAAATTAAAATACAGTAACAATTCATAACCTGTAAACTTAACACAGGAGCCTGTATAGCGACTAGGTTAGGGGCTGGACGACCGGGGGGTCGAAGTCCTATTCCTTACAGCGGAAAGAGGTTTCTCTTTTCTCAATAATGTCTAGAGAGTCTCTGTGTCCCACTCAGCCTCCTATTCAGTAGGTACCGACCCCAGTTTCTCAGTAGGCAGAGCGGCAGGGGTCTGAATTTGACCAGTCACCACCATCTTGTTCCGAGGATAATATTGATGGAGTTATATCTCCGCTCCCCCATACGTCTTTGTGAAGTGATGCGTAATTAATTAAACCAAGGGTTAACTTTGCCTTTTACACTTACCTTTATATACTTAACATCGTAGATTTTGAGATGGTGCTTTAATAATTGTTATCTATAACATTGTATTTAGAGCAAACGTCCAGAAAGTAAGGTTGATCTAGAAATGTGCACATCATATTGTTGGCGATATTGTATCGAATTATGTACCTGAAACATTTCATTTAAGTATGTATACCTACACACATCCTTTGCCAATATTAAGAACATAGTTCAGTACTTTAATGTTCTATGTAGTTCCGTTCCGTTGCCATGTCACATTATAGTGACCTTTACTTCCCCTTTTATAGATCTTTATATAAAAATCACAACGTTTCGTTTCCATTTGCTGTTCGGGAACCAATTTTGGAAATTTTGTAGTTGTCAAACAAACGATTAGGAAGCTGGTAAATTAAAGTTATCTCTGTGCTTAATTAATTAAGCACCACGCCATGTATACATACAGAGTGTGTGGAGGTATAGCTCCACCATTCTTGACTTCGGCAGCTCCGCAGCCCCTGCTGCATTTCCCCGGGGTAGCAGTCCCCGGACCAATTGGATAGGAGTCTGGGAGGGCCCCAGAGTCGGGAGTCTCTTGCCCCTTTCGGGAATCGAACTCCAATTCCTCGGTTGTCTACCCCAAACCTTAATCTCTATACGGAGTGAGTTACTCGGAGAAAGATCAAACAAGTAACCTGAAGCTTTATGTAACACCGCAGGTAGGTTAGAGTCTGGACTTTCGGTTCTATTCGCTCATGTTTTGTTATCCTCAAGAGATGCGTCTCAACTATTAGATTCAGAATCTTCAGTTTTCCCTCATCCTATAGAAAAACGTAAGATAGTCTTTGATTTTATGTGAAGAACTTGCTGTAGCTTAGTTTGTTGAGGCACTGTGCTACAAGCCCTAAAGTCGAGTGTTCGAGTCCCGATGAGGTGAATTTCTTCAATTGACCTCATCCTTCTAGCTGAACTATGGTTCTGCGGTCGACTCAGCCTCTAACAGAATTGAGTACTAGGATTCTTTCTGGAGGGTAAAGGGCGGCCGAAGCATAAGGCTGACAAACTTACTGCTGTCTGTGAGCCGATTGTCTAGAGAAAATATGGGGGCCTCGACGTCTCACAACCCTGTGGGCCTCCTTGGCATGTTACAGGGATAGCTTTACCTTTTACTTAGATCTAGTTGTCTAAGACTAGAGTAAAATATAGTTGTCCCTCTACTTAACTAATTAAGCACTACGCCATGAAGGCGTATGGGGGAGTGGATGTGTAGAGGCACATTTTATTGATCTCTGCAGTAGTTGAAGGTGAATGGTCAGCTTCACGCTCCTGCCCCTTCACCGCCGGCGAAATTACGTCCTATATCCACTGGATAGGAGGCGGGGCAGGCCTCAGAGCCGGTCTGGACAACGTGGAGAAGAAAACATTCTTGACCCTACCGGGATTCGAACTCCGACCCCTCAATCATCCAGCCCGTAGCCAATCGCTCTACCGACTACGCTATCCCAGCTCCTAAGAACAGAATGCTGAAGGTAATATTTCGACCTAAGAAGCAGGAAGTGTCTGTGAGCTGTAGTAAATTACTTCAAGAGCATTAAAACCTGTTCTCTTCAGCACACGTTATTAGGATGTTCAAATCCAGGAGACCGAGATGAATGGCGTATGTTGCACGAAGGTAGATGTGAGAAATATATACTAAATTTTGCTCGGAAAACCTGTATATAAGAGACTGCCTTAAAGCTGCAGGCGTACATGGGAGGATAATATTAACATGGATTGTAAGGCTCTGATGTGTGTGAGGGCGTAGATCAGATTCAGGGGCCAGTTTTGGTCTATAAAAAACGCGGAAATGGTATATTGTTTCCATAAACGGTTATACGAGTATATCTCTTGAGTAACTGAGCTGCTGTTAGTTTCCTAAAAGTGACCCCACTCAGAGGGGCTATTTCGTTCGATGGAACGTTCTGGTGAAACGTTACGATTTTAATGTATTTCATTCGAAATATAACAGAGGTATAGGTTACATTTTGTAAAACTTTCAATTTTTAGTCTAACAAGGGCGAACAGTAGTTAATTTGTATCTGATCAGCCTTAATATTATATCCATATTGTCATGATGTTATTCAGTGCCACATACGTTGAGTGTACGCAGTTGAATTATCATGGTTCAGCTTACAGGCCATGCGTTCCGTCTGCAGAAATGTTGGCACTTGTGATCTGGCGATGTCATGTTATTATGCCATTCAGTTGCTCCTGCTTTCTCTGCTTCTGTATGGCTTCCTTCATCGCCGTTAGCGAGCGTCGAAGTTAGATGGAGCGGAAAAAGTGCTGCTGCTGGTTGCGGTGAGAGGGGGAGGGTTACGGATGATGTGCTGGGGTGGAAAGTTAACGTTTTTTGACGCACAAGTTCAGGCCGGCCAACTAAAGAGGAAAGAGGCTCTATATTCTACAGCACATCCAGGACACAGATGGCTCCATTTGCACTCTTACTTCGTCCTGATTATAGGAAAACCAAGCCTGTTGGTATTGCCATGTTTTGAAGAAGCCACTTACTACGAAGCGAGGTGGAGGGATCTCGTCACTTCCGCGCTCTACACTCTTCTTACTTGAGTGTACGAAATACTCGAGAGCTCCTAAATATAAGTTTAGAAGTGTGAATCGCAACGTTATCAGAGGATTTATGAAATTTGTGTGCATTTGCTGGTTTATAACAAAACTTACGCATCCTACTTTTAGATAAACTGCTTCAAAAGCGAATACTACTACTATACTACTACTACTATACTACTACTACTACTAGTAGTACTGCTGTTACTATTACTACTACAACTACTATTACTACTACTACAACTACTACTACTACTACTACTACTACTACTAATAATAATAAGAATTGGCCTGTGTGATCGTGCGAAGTAAGATGTAAATTTAGTGAATTTCGTGACATAATTATTTCGTGGTATGATAATTAAAACTTTTGACGAAATTAGGCATGAGTTCATGAGTAAGAATTCTTCATAGATGGCTCCACCATAGGCGTAAGATTATAGAGCGTCATGCCCTGAAACGAGGTTGGTTAACAAAAGTGACTGCAGTTACCTTTCATTTGCGCATGCCATGACGACAATATGTGCACATCGAATATTCAGGAAGATATAGATAATTCTGTTTTTGTGAAA